ATGTGAGTTATGTGACTTATGTGAGTTATGTGAGTTTTGTGAGTTATGTGAGTTTTGTGAATTATGTGAGTTGTGTAAGTCATGTGGGTTTTGTGAGTTATGTAAGTTATGTGGGTTATGTGAGTTTTGTGAGATTTGTGAGAGTTGTGTGAGTTATGTGAGTTGTGTGTAAGTTATGTGTAAGTTATGTGTAAATTTTGTGAGTTATGTGAGTTTTGTCAATTATGTGAGTTATGTGAGCTATGTGAGTTTTGTGAGCTATGTGAGTTATGTAAGGTATGTAAGTTATGTAAGTTATGTGAGTTATGTAAGTTATGTGAGTCTTGTAAGTTATGTGAGTTTTGTGAGTTATGTGAGTTATGTGAGTTTTGTGAGTTTTGTGAGTTATGTGAGTTATGTGAGTTTTGTGAGTTATGTGAGTTATGTGTGTGAGTTGTGTGAGTTATGTGAGTTTTGTGATTTATGTGAGTTAAGTTATGTGAGTTATGTGAGTTACGCGAGTTCTGTGAGGGTTGTGAGTTCTGCGAGCCACGCGAGTTATGTGAGTTCTGCGAGTTATGTGAGTTGTGTGTTTTGTGAGATTTGTGAGAGTTGTGTGAGTTGTGTGAGTTGTGTGATTTATGTGAGTTATGTGAGATATGTGAGCTATGTGAGTTATGTGAGTTGTGTGGGTTATGTGAGTTATGTGAGTTATGTGAGTTATGTGAGTTCTGTGAGTTCTGTGAGCTATGTGAGTTCTGTGAGTTCTGTGAGTTATGTGAGTTATGTGAGTTATGTGAGTTCTGCGAGTTATGTGAGTTATGTGTTTTGTGAGAGTTGTGAGGGTTGTGTGAGTTGTGTGAGTTGTGTGAGTTTTGTGAGCTATGTGAGCTATGTGAGTTATGTGAGTTATGTGAGTTTGTGTAAGATATGTGAGCTATGTGAGTTGTGTGAGTTCTGTGAGTTTTGTGAGTTTTGTGGGTTATGTTGGTTCTGTGAGTTCTGTGAGTTATGTGAGTTCTGTGAGTTATGCAAGTTTTGTGAGTTATGTGAGTTCTGTGAGCTATGTGAGTTGTGTGAGTTATGTGAGTTTTGTGAGTTATGTGAGTTATGTGAGTTATGTGTAAGTTATGTGTAAGTTATGTGTAAGTTATGTGTAGGTTATGTGTAAGTTATGTGTAAGTTATGTGAGTTCTGCGAGTTATGTAAGTTATGTGAGGTATGTGAGGTATGTCAGTTTTGTGAGTTCTGTGAGTTATGTCACTTATGTGAGTTTTGTGAGTTATGTGAGTTATGTGAGTTATGTGAGCTGTGTGAGTTATGTGAGCTGCGTGAGTTATGTGAGTTATGTGAGTTCTGTGAGTTCTGTGAGGGTTGTGAGTTATGTGAGTTGTGTGGGTTATGTGAGTTCTGTGAGTTCTGTGAGTTTTGCGAGGGTTGTGAGTTCTGTGAGTTCTGTGAGGGTTGTGAGGTATGTGGGTTCTGTGAGTTCTGTGAGTTATGTGAGTTATGTAAGATATGTGAGCTATGAGAGTTGTGTGAGTTATGTGAGTTTTGTGAGGGTTGTGAGGTATGTGGGTTCTGTGAGTTCTGTGAGTTCTGTGAGTTATGTGAGCTGTGTGAGTTCTGTGAGTTCTGTGAGTTCTGTGAGTTCTGTGAGGGTTGTGAGTTATGTGAGTTGTGTGAGTTGTGTGAGTTTTGTGAGTTCTGTGAGTTCTGTGAGGGTTGTGAGTTCTGTGAGTTCTGTGAGTGCTGTGAGTTCTGTGAGTTATGTGAGTTATGTGAGGGTTGTGAGTTCTGTCAGTTGTGTGAGTTGTGTGAGTTGTGTGAGTTGTGTGATTTATGTGAGTTATGTGAGTTATGTGCGCTATGTGAGTTGTGTGAGTTATGTAAGTTATGTGAGTTATGTGACTTATGTGAGTTATGTGAGTTATGTAAGTTCTGTGAGTTATGTGAGTTATGTGAGTTACGCGAGTTCTGTGAGGGTTGTGACTTTGTGAGTTCTGTGGGTTATGTGTTCTGTGAGTTCTGTGAGTTATGTGAGTTATATGAGTTCTGTGAGTTCTGTGAGTTATGTGAGCTATGTGAGCTATGTGAGCTCTGTGAGTGCTGTGAGTTCTGTGAGTTCTGTGAGTTATGTGAGTTATGTAAGTTATGTAAGTTTTGTGAGTTATGTGAGTTTTGTGAGTTATGTTAGTTATGTGAGTTATGTAAGTTATGTGAGTTATCTGGGTTATGTAAGTTATGTGAGTTTTTTTAATTTTTGTAAGTTATGTAAGTTTTGTTAGTTATGTGAGTTATGTGAATTATGTGAGTTATGTAAGTTATGTGAGTTTTGTGAGTTATGTAAGTTATGTGAGTTATGTGAGTTATGTGAGATCTGTGAGTTATGTGAGTTTTGTGAGTTATGTGAGTTTTGTGAGTTATGTGTGTGAGTTATGTGAGTTCTGTGAGTTATGTTAGTTATGTGAGTTATGTAAGTTATGTGAGTTATCTGGGTTATGTAAGTTATGTGAGTTTTTTTAATTTTTGTAAGTTATGTAAGTTTTGTTAGTTATGTGAGTTATGTGAATTATGTGAGTTATGTAAGTTATGTGAGTTTTGTGAGCTATGTGAGTTATGTAAGGTATGTAAGTTATGTAAGTTATGCGATTTCTGCGAGTTATGTGGGTTATGTGAGTTATGTGAATTCTGTGAGGGTTGTGAGTTCTGTGAGTTCTGTGAGGGTTGTGAGTTCTGTGAGTTCTGTGAAGGTTGTGAGTTTTCTCAGTTATGTGAGTTCTGTGAGTTCTGTGAGGGTTGTGAGTTCTGTGAGTTATGTGAATTCTGTGATTTATGTGAGTTCTGTGAGTTATGTGAGTTCTGTGAGTTCTGTGAGTTCTGTGAGGGTTGTGAGTTGTGTGAGTTCTGTGAGTTCTGTGAGTTTGGTGAATTATGTGAGTTCTGTGAGTTCTCTGACTGTGAGTTTTGTGAGGGTTGTGAGTTATGTGAGTTCTGTGAGTTCTGTGAGTTATGTGAGTTCTTTGAGTTCTGTGAGTCTTGTGAGGGTTGTGAGTTATGTGAGTTCTGTGAGGGTTGTGAGGTATGTGGGTTCTGTGAGTTCTGTGAGTTATGTGAGTTCTGTGAGTTCTGTGAGTTATGTGAGTTCTGTGAGTATTGTGAGTTATGTGAGTTCTGTGAGTTCTGTGAAGGTTGTGAGTTCTGTGAGTTCTGTGAGTTTGGTGAATTATGTGAGTTCTGTGAGTTCTGTGAGTTCTCTGACTGTGAGTTTTGTGAGGGTTGTGAGTTATGTGAGTTCTGTGAGTTCTGTGAGTTATGTGGGTTCTGTGGGTTATGTGTTCTGTGAGTTCTGTGAGGGTTGTGAGTTCTGTGAGTTCTGTGAGGGTTGTGAGTTTTCTCAGTTATGTGAGTTCTGTGAGTTCTGTGAGGGTTGTGAGTTATGTGAGTTATGTGAATTCTGTGAGTTATGTGAGTTATGTGAGTTCTGTGAGGGTTGTGAGTTATGTGAGTTATGTGAATTCTGTGAGTTATGTGAGTTCTGTGAGTTATGTGAGTTCTGTGAGTTCTGTGAGGGTTGTGAGTTGTGTGAGTTCTGTGAGTTCTGTGAGTTTTGCGAGGGTTGTGAGTTCTGTGAGTTCTGTGAGGGTTGTGAGGTATGTGGGTTCTGTGAGTTCTGTGAGTTATGTGAGTTCTGTGAGTTCTGTGAGTTCTGTGAGTTCTGTGAGGGTTGTGAGGTATGTGGGTTCTGTGAGTTCTGTGAGTTATGTGAGTTGTGTGAGTTCTGTGGGTTCTGTGAGTTCTGTGAGTTATGTGGGTCATGTGTTCTGTGAGTTCTGTGAGGGTTGTGAGTTCTGTGAGTTCTGTGAGTTCTGTGAGGGTTGTGAGTTATGTGAGTTATGTGAGTTGTGTGAGTTCTGTGAGTTCTGTGAGTTCTGTGAGTTCTGTGAGGGTTGTGAGTTATGTGAGTTGTGTGAGTTCTGTGAGTTATGTGAATTCTGTGAGTTATGTGAGTTCTGTGAGTTATGTGAGATCTGTGAGTTCTGTTAGGGTTGTGAGTTCTGTGAGTTTTGCGAGGGTTGTGAGTTCTGTGAGTTCTGTGAGGGTTGTGAGGTATGTGGGTTCTGTGAGTTCTGTGAGTTATGTGAGTTATGTAAGATATGTGAGCTATGAGAGTTGTGTGAGTTATGTGAGTTTTGTGAGGGTTGTGAGGTATGTGGGTTCTGTGAGTTCTGTGAGTTCTGTGAGTTATGTGAGCTGTGTGAGTTCTGTGAGTTCTGTGAGTTCTGTGAGTTCTGTGAGGGTTGTGAGTTATGTGAGTTGTGTGAGTTTTGTGAGTTCTGTGAGTTCTGTGAGTTCTGTGAGTGCTGTGAGTTCTGTGAGTTATGTGAGTTATGTGAGTTATGTGAGGGTTGTGAGTTCTGTGAGTTGTGTGAGTTCTGTGAGTTCTGTGAGTTATGTGGGTTCTGTGAGTTATGTGTTCTGTGAGTTCTGTGAGGGTTGTGAGTTCTGTGAGTTCTGTGAGGGTTGTGAGTTTTCTCAGTTATGTGAGTTCTGTGAGTTCTGTGAGGGTTGTGAGTTCTGTGAGTTCTGTGAGTTTTGCGAGGGTTGTGAGTTCTGTGAGTTCTGTGGGTTATGTGTTCTGTGAGTTCTGTGAGTTATGTGAGTTATATGAGTTCTGTGAGTTCTGTGAGTTATGTGAGTTATGTGAGCTATGTGAGCTATGTGAGCTCTGTGAGTGCTGTGAGTTCTGTGAGTTCTGTGAGTTATGTGAGTTATGTGAGCTATGTGAGCTATGTGAGCTCTGTGAGTGCTGTGAGTTCTGTGAGTTCTGTGAGTTGTGTGAGTTATGTGAGTCATGACAGTTATGTGAAAGGCTCAATTCCAATTCCGTGGTAGCATTGGCCGTTTCCCTATCTGAAGAACTGTGAAGCCATTGAGCATAAATATGTCGAACCCTTTCAGTTGTGGCGAAATGCAGTGATGCGATTGCGGTTGCTCAATTTTCTGGTGTTTTTGACAAGGTTGAAGATCACAGCCCCTGAGCAGAAAGGACGAGGCGCTTTGGTGTTTTCGGGTACAGTACGTTCCTCGGGTGCCGAGTTCAGTTACCTGGCCGACATTTCAAACGCTACACACGTTACAAAACATGGTACAGATTGGTACGGCATAATGTTCAAACAGCATAATTGGTGTACAAATCCAATCTCGAGATCTTCGTTGGTACGTCACAAATCCCTCTCCCTCTGCCCAGCATGCTTCAATCTCGGACAAATCTCACGGGACAGTCCACAGTCCGCCTCGAGAAATGGTTGGAACACATCCCACTGTACTGTATTAAAATAAATTAGAATATATTAGAATACTGATCAATACTAATCAATGCTGTCTGCAGGATGTTGGTCTGAATGTCACGAATGTGTAGCAAATCAGGAGGAAAAACATGGAAAAACCATGAGCAAAATGAGCAAATTACCCTGCAGAGAAGGGTCGGGCCCATTGGGATGGAAAGGAAGACAGCATCACGCTGACATTGCAGCCTGGTTGCTGGCTTCTAGAATGCATCAATTCCTTTCATACACCAAGAAAAACAGAGGCCTTTTGAGGAGAACAACATATAAATTTACTTAAATTTAAATCATACAAATTTATAAACAATGAAATAACTATAAATGTATATTTCAAGAAATGATATAACGAATTAAAACAACATGTGTTTGATTGGTGTATTTTCTCCTCAAAGCGGGGCCCCGACATAGGTGTGCCATTGAGGGCTGCCGACTTCGACGAGGCTCAATGCACGCTGTGTCTCCATGTGTCTCCATGTGTTTCCACAAAAAGTGAATGAAAATACGAATGAACACCTGGTGAACAATGGATACATTGGATATAATTCTTCAAAATACATTTGACGAATAGACTGAGACTTAAAGTATCTCCATGTTTCTATTCAGCCTTGCAAGCGAAAGACTTGCCATGCGATTGACCTCGTTTTTACTTTTCTCATGAACTGTCAGCCATATTTGCTTCAGACAATTCCTTGCACTGCTTCACTGATCTTCACTGATCTTCACTGTTTCTTTCCGTTTCTTGGTTGTTTCAGGTGAATTTTGCTGAACAGCTGAATTGCAGGAGGAGTTGAATCAGGGATGTCCTGGGTATTCTAGATATTTCTAGATCCTCAAAGGGTTCCACAAAGGGTTCCACAATCGAGGAGGTTTACAGCCGGTTTACATGATTAAAAACATGAATCCAACTAGGCTTTCTCGACTGTGTGAAGTAGGATGAAGATGGATGAAGTAGGCAGTAAAATGCACAGTAAACATCCTAAAAATGAGAACATTGAGAGGTCCTGTAGAGAGGTCCTGTTTAGCCTAAAATTAAGATGTCAGACACATCAGACAGCAAAGTCCTTTGCTATGCGAACCTTCTGCGAATCTCATGCGAGGATGAACATCTGTGTCTGAAATTTGGTTCCCATTTCGTCATTTCTACGTCGAGGAGGTTTTCTCTCTCACAGCTTTGGCGCTACTTTCGGCAGCCTGCAGCGACCTCAAGAGACCGGGACCTGAAGGGATCTGAAGGGACCTGAAGGGACAGGACATGTATCACTGTATCCAGACTGTATCACTGCATAGTGGGCATAGTGATTGTGACGTATTGTGACATATTGTGACAGTGCAGCATGGTACAGTGCGGTATGGCATGGTATGGCACGGTATGGCGCGGTGCATGGGTCGACGCGACGTTGTTAAGGGGCACAAGCATCATCAAGCATCAGCGCCATTGACATGTTTTTTGAACGCCAGGTGACGGTTGCTCCTCGCTATGTCCTTTTTGATTTTATGTCAGGTAACTCCTCCCGTCCTTTGCGAATCCTTCGTGCCTCTAAGCCAAATCTTCGTCCCTTTGCTACAGCAAGCTCGCGGGCTATCTGGGCCGCGCTGCACCCGAAAACTATGTCTGATAGAATTTGAGAATATACGATCAAAAACGATAAAATGTAAGTTGGTCCTTGGAAGTAAAGTATTTTTCTTTGGCAAAGCCAAGTCAGTGGTGCATGAGATAAACAATATTACCATTTTTTACATCACCTGTGCCGCCTGTGCCTATGCCGTTTTTACGGTTCACTCTCGCTCAGAAACCATTCTCTAATACAGTATGTTTGCCTGAAACTTCAGTGTTAAGCGTTTAACTGTACATGTTTTACTAGAAAATGGACCAATGTCATTCAATATCATTCAATGTCATTCAATGTCATTCAATGTCTAGCTGTTCCGTATCTAAAGGGCGATACAGTCCGCCCGTGCCATGATCCTTGGATCAAAGGTGCACAGCGCGATTCGAAACTCGGAGGTTCCGCATTTGTCGGTTCTTAGACACACTTAGACACACTTAGACACAGGGATAGACATATTCAATATGGATCAATATGGATCAATTGCATCTAGATCTGCTGTGCTTTCACACCCTGGGTTCTTGTTGCAAAGGACCATTGAGGACCTAAATGGAATTTGGTTTTTGTATTTGTTGAAATTTTGTTCATTCAGCAATTGTCAGCACCATGCATTATTGTGTGCGCTTGAACTCCTGAGGCCCTGGTTGATGAGATCTACCAGCTGTTGAAAAACATTGCTGCTCTGTCAGAGTTCAAGAAAGAGGTCGCACCCAAGATCACAGAAAGTACACAGAAACTGTAGCATGGACCTGCAATGCGACGAACACTGAGTGTTTTGCAGTTGAATTCTAAAGAATTCTGGAAAACACAACTACAAAATGGTTCCACAGTCTTCCACATGTTTCCTTTCACAAAGCCAAACTATTAGCAGTAGCAGAGAACGGATCTGAGCGCCGCTCCTCCTGAAACGTGTTTCTTTTTTGTTAGATTGTCAGACATGATAGACCCTTTTGTCGGAGTCAGGTTTTTGAACGCTAAAATAGTTCTTCAATGTTTTTCACTTGCATCAGAGAAATACCAATACCAGCAACCGCAACGAACAGAAGCTCACCCAGACACGGGCTGTTTTTTTTTGCAACTCTTTTCCGCCGTTTGATAGCAAAATCTACAAGATCGGATATGCATCAAGATGCTGTTTCTTTGAGATGTGCTTGCATGTGTTTGCACAGTCGCAGTCATAATGCATTGGAAATGTCACATGTGCGCGCGACGCGTGCCCTCAAAGATGCAAATGACTTGTAGCGTTGTTTACAGTGTGTTTGAGCAATTTTGAGCAGTTGCCTTCAAAAGAGGTACCAAACGGGGCTATTCGCAGTGTTGTTTTGTTTTTTCTTGCACAATGCCAGCGTATTTGAACTTCAAACACAAAACTGTTGCTTACATGACATGGTGTTTTTGTGCCGCAGCCTGTTTTACTTTCTTCCAAACCTTGAGAAACAATACATTGTTGCCAGAAAACTGTGGCTTCAAAGAAGATCATTGGCTCGATATCGGTTGATGCATCCCTCAACCAATGCAACAACCTCCCTAAAGGAGCAATGCGATGTCCAGCAATACATTTCTGTTCGGCAAAAAAAATGTAGCAATAACTTTCTCTCCCAGGACCAGTTGATTTGTTTTTAAAGCCAGCAGCAGGTGCAGCATCGCCCAGCTAACGCTACCGTTGAGTAGCGTCAAGTGTATTGCCGGATTTCAAGGTTTATGCTAACTTCGCACGCTCTCTTAGCATCTAACGGTAACAGTATGTAACAGTATGTAACATTGCACACTGGAAAATGAACGCTTTCGAGGCCAGCCACTGGTACCTTACACGTACTAGTATACTTAAACATCTTTAAACCTCAGAATCGACACCACCCACGGGACCCACAAGGGCGTCTTGGGCCGTTGCCGGCAAGACATTGTCCCATACTCACTTCACCAAAGTGGTCTGTTTGTGACAAAATGGAACATTAACCGAGTCAGCAACTAACCGATTCAGAAACTATGAGTCAGCAACTCAAAACCCGCGAGTCAGCAAGTACTTCCATGGGGTAGGGTGGGGGTGGGGTGGTACAGTTGCACGGGGATGCGATGCTACGATAGACTCCGATAGACATGCATTCATCTTAGTTGCCAATAGAATCAAATTGGGCCATATATGCTGCCGACTCAGCTCTTTCTTAGACTCAGCCCGTGACCGACAAACTGGGCATTCTTTTGTGACCCTCTTGCCCCTCGATATTGGGGTTTTATACAGCTTGGTGCGAACATTGAAAACCAGCTTTGTGTTCCAACAAAAACAAATCAGGAAGCCAAAATTCAAAGACCAACTACATAGATACGCAGAAATTAGGGAGAGAAAGAAAAAGAAAGACAACAACAGAATGAAACATTTGTGAAATTGGAACGGTTTCACAAATCGTCAATTAAGAACCGAGAAAAACGACAAATCACAGATACACAAGCAAAGGTAAGAATGACAAACAAAAACACTGCTTCACAACATCATTCCTTGTTCTTGTGAATCCATCCTGCCTTGTAGCTTGCTTTTCTCTGTTTTGTTCATTGTTTCTCTTGTTTTTTCCTCTCGCCAGGGTTCAGCATGAATGGACTTTTCCTTTGTGTCAACAAAATAATGCAAAGGAGCAAAGGAAAAGTCCAAACAAAGGCTCTGCAAAGGGATGCACTTTATCCGAAGCTTGTGCCAGAATTGTTGCTTCGCAGATGGCTGTTCTGGCGGCAATCTACACGGAGCGTTTGCTGAAACGGTGCCTCGGATGTGAAACAGGCAGACAGGCAGACAGGCAGACAGGCAGACACATGCATCGCAAAGGTTTAAATCAAACGCATGGTAAACTCCAGACTCTGATGACCTCTGATCACTCCAACGTAAACGAAGCTTCCTAAGTTGAAAGATGTCAACGGGAGCAGAATTCACTCAGAAACACTTCTAGTACCAAAATCTTTAAGTGGAAAGCGCAGTGAATTGCTGCGCAGGCGATGATCAAATCGTGACTGGTACGATTAGATTGCACGGCATGATGCCTTGCCCCATGACACACGTTGCCACACGTTGCCACACGTTGCCACACGTTGACATGGGAACATGGAAGAATCCACGGAGCCACGGAGCCACAGAGCCAAGGCATCCCGCCTTGCGTTTGACAAAGAAAAACTGGCGCCCGATTCTCGCCTGGTTCCCGGCACGTTCCTGGCACTTCCCGGGGCTTTCCGGCACTTTCCGGGGCTTTCCGGGGCTTTCCGGGGCTTTCCCCTTTCGGAAAATGAGAAATGGAATGACACATGGAACAAATGGAACAAATGGACCTGCAAGCATTTGCGCCATCCCGCCATCCAATTGCATCTCACCACATCCCCTTTGACAGGACTTGTGAAAGGAATGTGACACTGTGACACCTACATGTTGCTACGTATGACAATGATTCACAATGCACGTCTGTGACTATTTCTCTTCTTATACCAATTCTCCTTGATCTGCCTAAATCTGCCTAAATGTTCGAATATGTTCAACATGTTTTCTTTCTCCTGGTTCTCGTCATTCTCGTCGTTCTCCACCCATAGAGTGCCTTTCATCGTGGACTGAACCAGATCGCGGCGTTGCACCTGGCATCCAAGACATGGGAGGAGAAGCGGAGAGCTGTTGGACAGCTGAAGTTTTGCGTATCAATTGAGCCGTAAACATGGCAGAAACATTCGACGACCCCGTGTTGCAAGAAGTCAACATCGGCTCGCAGCATGTCGCAGCATGTCACAGCTTCAGGATGTCCATGCCTGGAACTCGGACTTCTCCGCGTATCTCCAAGCCGCACTAGGAGCGGAGCCACCTACGCCATGTCCACCTGGTCGCATGTCAAAGCATGTCAAAGCATCAAGTCATGCGCCAGGGCTTCACTACCCGGTGTGAGCCTAAAGATGTCTGATTTGTTTCAGTCGTTTCATGTGTCTACTGTACCAATGTACCAATGAGTTGTGAGTTGTTGGTCAAATTGTCACTTGTGGCGCACGGGTTCCGACCCCTTTCTGTCACTCTTCCCGTTTTGATGGATGTGCATCAGACGTGCACGGCTTCGAGGTTCAGAGCCTTCATCGCTTGGAGCTGCAGATGCTCACAGCCTTGGATTACCACATGGAAGCGGCTCGACATTCGACATTCGACAGCTCATTTTACCATGATTGAAAAACAGAAGTACTTGTATCATATAAATATATAAATATTATACGGAAACATGACATAACAATGGGATATCATGTTTTCCACGGATAGATCTGCTCTTTTCGTATCCAAAGTATCTTTGGACACTGAGGTCCCAGGTGAACTCTACGTATCCTATTACTTCGCACTCACGGAGGCCGGCACAAGAAAAGGTCGAACAGGTTCATCCAAAAACAAAGACCCAGGTTCCCTTTTCATGGACACACAGTGATACAAATAGGATCAAATAGGTATTATGATCAAAATATTCACATATAATATCATACAATCATATTATTATATGATATACAGTTGCATATTGATCATTTTGATACACATACAGTACTGTATTGATCATCACATTGTTTATATTGTTTATGTTGTGTCACATTCTTAACACATTGAAATGTCTTAAATGTGATCGGATATGACATCACATGATATGTCTGTGAAATGTCTATGACGAATGTGGACACAATATATATATATATATATATATATTTATAGAGATATTTATATAAATATTTATATATAGAATTCCACAGAGGAGCAGAACTCCCGTGTGAGCAGGGGATTTGATGGAGTTATGTCTGGTTCTGTTTGAGCGTTATGTTTGTTCCTGAATTTTGTCCAGGAGATTCAGAGAGCGCACACGCCGCCTCATCTCAATGAATCGTTACTGGCGGGACTTCCCAAAGGTGGAAGATGGCGGAAATGTGAAGGTTGTGACAGTTCTGATGGTTGTGAAGCATGGCCAAGCATGGTGAAGGAAATACATGAAAAGACCATTTTTCACATTTCAAACATGTTCAAACTCATGCGGCACATGAAGAACATACACAGCAAGAGAGAATCGTCTTGCATCGGCAGAAGGGTCGCCTAGTATTTTGCTACATTCAAACCCATATATTTCATTATATTTCGATATACCGATATCTTGAAGACACTGAGGCTAGTTCCTTGCAGCCAACGTTGGAGGCAAGGTAGGAGATTCCACGAGACACCGTAGTTCAAGGAATGGATTCATGGAACTGTTCTTTGGCCCACAGCACGCATTCTGCGCAAATTCAATTCATTTCGTTGATTTATGTGATTTTATGTGCTTTGAAGTGGATTTACGAGGATTTGGGCTCTGCCATGTTTTGTTTTTCGTCGACATTTTTGAATGTTGCTTGCATCGTGAGTGGAAATGTTGTCTGCATCTCCCGCTCCGAAAGTTGACTCCATCACCACGTAACAGAGCAGTTGTCAGTTACACAGAATCTGAGACCGACCACACAGCATTTGTAGAAGTTTCGTAGCCGAATCCCGTAGAGTCCACATTTTTGTAGATATCTTTGTCACATGCAAGCCGTGCAAGCGTGTGGCGCCGTGCAACCGCCAAAAAATATGTGTAATTTCGTGATGAAGCAACACAAGATGCATGAAATAGTGGGAACAGAAGTTGCAAGACAACACACCTATATGACATGATATTGTGATATATAGATGTATAATATTTTTATTATATATATATATGTGCATTTGAAAGTACATTTACATCTTAAACATATGCCATATATTGCATCATATATTATATAATATGAATGTATCCAAAAAATATATGATACAGTCAAACGTGATGAATATGAATTCAAATCGTTAATTGAATTGGATTGTAGATGTAGATATTGTAAGATGAGGCAAGTTGTAGTCATGGAAAGCACATTTTGAATCGCTACAAATTGCAACGCGAACGAGAACGGCACAGATTGTGTGCAACCTCCGTGCAACCTGGATACGGCACAGACCGACACGTTGCCGTGCCGTGACACGTTGCCGAGGCCAACTCCACGATGGCATCGGAGAGGCGGAGCCGGGCGGAGCAGGGCGGAGCCGGGCGGAGCCGGGCGGAGCCGGTCACCAGTGACACGATGTGACACGATGTGACACGATGTGACACACGGAATCTTGCAACTTGACATGAATCGACTTCACTCGAACTCTAAACTCAAAGGACACCAAGAGTTCATGATGAGTTCATGTTTACAGAACTCGGCACACTTTGAAGGAAACATGAACTGCTGAGTTGAAAAATCCGGGAAACAAACAATTATGGATCGATTTGTTTCCCGGATTTCAATGAAACTGTTTGTTGCATGTCGTCAGAGTTATTTGTTTCGCTAGAATTCAACACGTTGCAATTTCTCTGCGCAATTCCTCGGCAATTCTCACAAACGCAAGCAGAGAAAGTCGTAGGTTTTACACAATTTTACAACGGATCTCTGAACGTTGGTTTCTTTATTTAGAATTTCCGTCTTTTCTGTTTGTATTATGAGAATGCGTGCATTATTTTTTCACAGGAAGGCTTGAACATGTTTCCAATAATTTTACAAGGAGGTGCAGGGACTTGCCTCTGCTCAGTTGCAAAATGAATATGCTGCTCAATAATTCTTAATTAAATGCATTCAACATATTTCAAAATAATTACTTTCCAGATTCTTGATCTCTGATGATTTCATATCGCGTGCGCTATCATGCGCTATCATGCGCTGCCATGATGTCCTATATGAATTCTATGTATTTCTATGTGGTATCTGTGCAGTATCCTAGTGATCTTTGCTTCCTGATCTTCCCTGATCTTCCCTGATCCTGGATTCCTCCTCCTGATATGTCCTGGTGACCTGACGTGACGTGACAGGGACATTCAAAGTTGTTCTCCCACATCTTCAGCGCCGACGGCTCGGAGAATTCCCATTGGAATTCTTGGAATTCCGATTGGAATACGATATGAATACAAAAACACAAAAAGTACAATGAAAACAATTACAATACAATACATTACAATGATACATTACATGATATACATGATACAAAAAACACATCTTTGTGGTTTTCGTTTACACATTTTACACTTTCTGAATTTTTGCTGCTTCAGTCTTTGCTGGACATCCTACAGATCTTACAATGTGAATAAATAGGCACGCTGACGCATTGAATCACAATGTATTGCAGTATTGCCTTACAGATAGGAAATCACAATCACATTGACTGTAACGACTGTAACAGTTAACACAAATGAATTAAAATTAATAATTATTGATCCCAGGATGGACATCTGTTTTATATTTGTTTTCAACATGTGTTTCACAAATGAAACAAATGTAAAATGTTTGATTTGATAAAAACAAACAGGATATGAATTAAATCAAAAAATGTTTTTCAAATTTCAACATTTGTCATGTCCCAGGTCATCGCGACGGACACGGACACGTGTGACACGTGTGGCCCGCCGTGGTCTCAGCGCTGTGCGACAGAACGGGCCGTGGCACCGTGGCACAGGCCGTGGCACGGGCCGTTTTGGGGAACGGTTTTGCTGCACATAGGCCGCATAGGTTGCATAGGTTGCACATGGTTGCAGAAATCCTGAAACATGTCCTCCCTATGAGTCCATAGTCGTCCCGACCTAAGTTGATCGTTGCAGGTTTTGAGATGCCTAGGCTGCCTAGGCTGCCTAGGTCTTTGTTTGTAGCACTTTTTTCATTTTTTTTCTGGGAGAGACTAGGTTCTTGACCAAAGCGCCTACTTTTGCAGTTTCCCTATGATTTCCCGATTTCCCCTATGATTTCCCTGGCTTCATTTTGCGCTGCATGACCATGTTACGCATTCAACATCATCCAATCCTATTTCAATTGATTTTTCTAATGCGGGCCATTGATAAACTAAATGATGCAATGACAAGTGGCCACAAATTGACAGGGTCAACCACCACCTACCATAGGCGAATAAAGTCCAAGCGCTAAACTCTGACCGGCCATGTTAGCTTGTCAACCGGCTTGAAGTGCCACTGACAGACTCTCATGTTCATTTTTGCGTGCCATGTGCACGTTTTATGCGAAAGTTCGCACTTACAAAAACTTCAAAACTGTTTTAAAAAGCTTCAAAAAACGCCTACAAAAACCATCAAACGCCTACAGTACAAATCCCAAAAGCTAGGTCACTTTTTTTTTGAATGTTTTAAACAATATGCCGAAGAATCGGAAAATTTGAGCGTTATCAGCGTTATTCTTTTTTTTGGCACAGTTCTCTCAGAATTAAGTCTCTGGACCAGCATGTTCATGATGGCAACTCTGAACACTGTGCGTGTGTGTGCACATCACCATGCGGATGGGCTGGCACGACTTATTTTGTGGATTTTTGTGGGAGACCAATTGAAATTCCAGGTTTTTTCCATGACCAAATTCTATAATCTATGCAGGGGGTCGGGGAGTGACAGAAAATTCGAGCTTGCAGTGGAGTAAAGTTCACAATCAGTTCTTGGAGGTATCGACCAAAACGATTCCAAAACGTCTACTTTTTAAATTAGTGCCCAGAAAAGTAGAACAGGAGCCGACCAGAAATTTCTGATCTTTTGAAGACCTAGGTAAAATAATAAAGAAAATATAAATCAAAATCATGTTGAGTTCTTCTGGCATGTTTGTTCCATGCAGGCAGCAAACGTTGCAGCACATGATTTTCAATTTGAGCTTGCGAGGTTTCTTCTCCCGAAGAAGGATGTCAGAAGCTCGAAATCTGGGGCACCGTCGAATGTAGAATGATGTTGAATGATGTTGAATGATGTGAGCCAAGAAAATTGACCTATGCCAACAGACATCTTTGTCAAGAACATGTTCAAAACATGTGACCTTTTCATACCACTTGACGCCTTCAAACTACTTGAAGTACTCGAAGCATGTTCCTGCAGAACATGCTCTTGGAATACTGCAGAAATTGATGAGAGATTTTCTTGAGCTTTTGTCAATGAATACACAATAAGATCAAGGAGTGCATGATGTATAGCTTTTGTCAATGAATACACAATAAGATCAAGGAGTGCATGATGTATAGCTTTTGTCAATGAATACATAATAAGATCAAGGAGTGCATGATGTATAGCTTTTGTCAATGAATACACAATAAGATCAAGGAGTGCATGATGTATAGTTTTGTCAATGAATACACAATGAGATCAAGGAGTGCATGATGCATAGCTTTTGTCAATGAATACACAATAAGGAGTGCATGATGTATAGCTTTTGTCAATGAATACACATAAGATCAAGGAGTGCATGATGTATAGCTTTGCATGACGTATATCTTTTGTCAATGAATACACAATAAGATCAGGAGTGCATGATGTATAGTTTTTGCCAATGAATACACAATAGATCAAGGAGTGCATGATGTATAGCTTTGCCAATGAATACACAATAAGATCAAGGATTGCATGATGTATAGCTTTTGTCAATGAATGCACAATAAGATCAAGGAGTGCATGGTGTATAGCTATTGTCAATGAATACCCAATAAGACCAAGGAGTGCATGATGTATAGCTTTTGTCAATGAATACACAATAAGATCCAGGAGTGCATGATGTATAGCTATTGTCAATGAATGCACAGTAAGATCAAGGGTTGCATGATGTATAGCTTTTGTCAATGAATGCACAATAAGATCAAGGAGTGCATGATGTATAGCTATTGTCAATGAATACACAGTAAGATCAAGGAGTGCATGATGTATAGCATTTGTCAATGAATACACAATAAGATCAAGGAGT